GTGCCCTCGTGTTTAGCCTTCAGGGAGTAAGGCTTTGTTGCGTTGGGAGTAGCTTCATGAAATTTTACACCAATGAGCCCGGTCCTCACTTCCGGTTTTGCACAGCGCAGGAAGCTGAGGACGCCGATCAGTGCGCCGTGCGAGAAGTGTTTGGGCTCTGCTACTCGGGTGCCAGCTTAGATGACCCTTTGAGCACAGTGACCTTTGATCGCGACATGCTGCGTTCCTTGTTGATGCCCCAAAATTGAAAAGCCTCCAAGTCGTGAGCCGCGTGAGCCCTTAAAGCGTAAGCAGCCTCTGGAGTCAAGTCGTGCTGGGACAGATAAGCGCCGGCGCACAGGTGAATGTTTCAAATGGATTGCTGTGGAGTGCAAGCAGCGGCAATGCACATTTAAGCATAAATGTGCTGCGTGTGGCTCACCCGACCACCAGTCGGGAACGTGCAGCAACCGTGACTATAGGGGTCGTCAAACTCCCCGAAGCGGTGGAGCTTGCTAATTTGAGGCCAAGCCCTCCGCCAGTGCAGCAAGTGCTTGAGCAAGAGCCTTCCACCTTCAAGCTGCGTGACGGTGGTGGCATCATCTCCACGGCCGATTGGTTCCAGCCCCAAGAGGCCGACCTCGGGAGCGCCGTACGACAGCAGTGGTGGCAGCGCATTCAAGAGTGGGACTTGGTGCAAAGACTTGATGCTCATGTGCAAGCTCGTGCGCGCAGTCCTTGGTTGAATGAGGAAGAAGTGCAAATACTTCGCAGTGATTGGGCATTTTTTCTGAAAAGGTGTTGTGGCCAGCGCGGAGATTTGTGCCGGGCAGCCGCTGTGTCTGAGTCTCCTACAAGGATGCCTAGAAGTCTGGAATGACTTGGACGTAGCCTTGCCTGGGCTGCTGGCAAAAGGTGTCCCCACTGGTGTGCTTGAAGCCATCGAACCATCGGGAGTGTGGCGTGCAACAGACATTGAGGAACACCCCCCGCTGGATCTGCACATTTGGGGAGAAGCCGTGGGCCTCGGGCCTAGACAATCCAGAGCTACTTACTCACTGACCTTGTACAGGCAGATGTGGATGAGGGCTTCGCAGAATGGGTGGATGGAGGTCTGGATGCCGTTAAAGACCTGTTTGGGTCACTGGTTGCAGCGGGCAAACTAGGGATAGTGCAGAAAGCCGGAGCAGCTGCACGGTTGATAGGAGACAGCAGTGTGTCTGGTGCCAATGCCCAGTGTCGCATCAAAGAGCGCATCGAACTGCCCACGCTCAGCACCGTGGCCCAGTTCCTATCTAGACACCCTCAGGAGCAGTGGCTAGCGTTCAGCCTTGATTTCAGCAAGGCGCATAAACGGGTCAAGGTACACCCTGCGCAACAAGGGCTCAGCACATTTTGTGTCAAAGACCGCAGTGGGGCTACAAAGCGGGTCTATTACAAAACCTGCCATTTTGGGTGTGCTCGGGCGGCGTATTGGTGGAGCAGGGTTGCTGCTGCCTTCATCCGTGTAGCGCATCGATTCTTACATCACAGTCACTTCCTCTGCATCTATGTGGACGACGCATTGGCATTGTTCCCGCGCAGGGTAGCAGCCCCCATGGCCTGCCGTTATCTTGGCGCAAAGTTGACCTTAGCGACCAGCTAAGTTGGATAGGCTGGGATTTGCGTTTTCAGGGCTACCCCAGCGCATTCTTGCCGGCGTCAAAGCTTGAGGCCATGCTTAGCAGTCTGCAGCAGATTTGTGCAACACCCTGCAGGGTGAACCGGAAAGAGCTACAAACCCTGGTGGGGCGACTTGTGTGGTACACCACAGGAGCTTTTTGGCTAAAACCCTGGCTGCAAGTTTGGTTTCATATGCTGGGCAAAGTGCGACTGCGCTTTCAATCGTTACAACGCGAGCAGCTGGAAGATTTGTATCATTGCTTGGATAGGGACTGCAGGGTATCCCGCCTTCCCCGGCTTTGCGATATTCAGGTTGGCTGGAAACTGCTAGAGATTGGTGGCCATGCGGTACAAAACCAGGCTGACATATTGTGTGCGCCCCTCAAGCGTGATCAAGCCTGGCTAAAATTTGGTGAAGACGGTTCAGCAGAGATTTGCTTATCCTCTGAAGAGCTTGCAGTGGCCCGGTTTTTCATGCGGTTGCTTCAACGTCAAGAGGATGCGCCGGTGCATTTGGTTGACCTCCCCGGTCCCTGCGTTGTGGCGGCAGCGGATGCCTATGCAGAAGGGACCCGGGCTGGTGTGGGCGGTTGGTTCCTGCCAGAGGGTGCAGTGCTCCACCCGTCCAACATCTTCTGGTTTTCCTGCGAAGTAGAATGGGCTGCTTTACCAGCTTGGTTTACAAAAGATATGCGTGATTTGCAATCGGCCATTGCAGCCTTGGAGGCCCTAGCCCAGTTGCTCCTTTTGTCGTGCCAGCGGTCGCAACTACCTTTGGAAGCAAAGATGGGGAGAATTTCTCTTCGTCAGCAATGCGACAATATGGGTGTAGTGTGCAGCACAGCACAGCGTTTGTCCATGAAACAGCCGCTGGCTAGTGTGCTGCAGAGTACTGCGCTTTTCTGCTAAAAAGAGCGGATTGAACATTTCTCATGTTGCTGGCGTCCGAAATGAGTGGGCTGACATCCTATCACGCGGAGCAATGCGAGACCCTTCCTTTTGGGCGCAGCTGGCTGAACTTGCTCAATCTTGGGGCTACCATGTTAGCCTAATTGCCAAGCACGCTTTGAGTGGAGTGGATGACAGTTTGGTGCTTGGAGGGACCACGCTCAGTTTGGGTGAGTTATGGGGGGGCTCTCCTGCAGGCTGACCTGCCAGCCCTGCAGCATCCTCCCCCTGCAATGGTGGTCCTCCAAAATAGTGCGCGTGCTTGGAGAGGGAGGGTTGGACAGCTTTGCCTGCAAGGTAAACCAACAAACCCTCACCTCCACGCAGGTGCTTACATGAATGCTTATCAGAAGTGGCCCATTGGTTTGAGGTGTAGTGGTGACTTTGAGTGCAATCTCTTTGTCCCACCCTCCCTCCCTAATTGAATGGCGTGGTAGGTGCCTTCTCTTAGGCGGCCCATGTGCTGCCGGGTGAGTTATGGGGAGGCTCTGCTGCAGGTGCTGACCTGCCGGCCTTGCAGCGTCCTCCCCCTGCAATGGTGGTCCTCCAAAATAGTGCGCGCGCTTGCCAGCGGTCTCATCACTGACCGGTATGGCGTGCCCCAATACAATGGAGAGCCCGAACTGTTTGAGGAGTACGAGGAAAGGGCATATGGGACCTCTTCCACGGCCGAGAAGGCCAAGATGGGCTTCAGATCGCCACGCCAGTTAATTTGAGAGCTGGACTCACAGGTGCAGCCTACGAGTCGGTTTGCAAGTTGGAGCACGGAAAGATGAAGACGAAGAATACTCGAGGAGCAGGCTGCAATTGAAGATGCTCCTCGCCAGGGCTATGGACCGTCCAAGAGTCTTCAACGAACTCAAGGACCTATCTCAGTTGGAATTCCATGATCTGAGGGCTGGGACCTTGTGACATCAGGAACCATCGCCTACGGCTTCTGGTCCATCCTCATCCGACAAGCGTCCACCTTCAGCCAAAATCATCCGGGCCTCGCGCCAAAGAGTATGGCTGTACTGAGTTCAGATCAATCCTGATCAAGAGCTACCAGACTTCCCAAGCTTGCCGCCTGAAGATCAGGACATCTTGCAACCTCTTCCCGGCGATTCCGAGCTGATCAATGATGACAGCAACTTTGAAGGACATCGTTTTTGCTGCCGTCGCATCGGACCCGATTGCCGACGATGGGCCATGGATGTCATACTGGACGACGAGCTTCCTGACGCGTTCCATGCAGCTCTTGTCGATCTCTCTTTTGCCTTTTGCTTCTCCCTCCTCCTTCGATGGTCGGGTCATACGCTCAGCAGCGGCACGCACGAGCCTCAAGCGACCATAGAGGTAGAAGGCGAAGCGGTACAGCTCTGAGACATCGGCTCATTCGAGAGGGCATGCGCCATCACCTGCTTGCAGTAGTGCTCACCCTACACTCTCTCCGCAGAAGACCCACCTGGTCTCGCAATCTTGGACTCCGGCTGCGCCAGAATTCTTGTTCCTTGACGTTCGGTGGATGGGGTTAGCCCAGAGAGCAGGTTATTGCAC